ACAAATTACACATGCATTTGATTACAACTTGCTTTGAAAGTCAGTTTAATTCCTAGGTTTTGAATATTCAGACGGAATCTGCTTGCATTTTGTTTCTGTTAGGAAAATGTGTATATAAATTAATTGCATAAATTAAACTGGAATTGGTAGTTTATTGGCATCAATTTGACAGCATAATGACAGCCCTCATTCACACCAAGATTTCATAGAGATGCACATTTAAATGCTACAGTATTAGTAATGTTATCTAGTTCTTGGAGACAGTCCAATAAACATTTATTATTATGAAAACTTCTTTAATACAAATAAGTTTGGGAGTAGAAATGCGGTGTTTAAGACCAGTGTATGTGTATATATTGGTTTTGAACTGGTAAACTTCGTACTGTTTCTATGGATATTTATGGAAGTCCTTTATCCCAAAGTACCTTAATGTAAGTAGCTGGGAGTTTTAACCCAAGTGGGCTTGACTCTCTTCAGTTTGAATATGCATATTTTTTGTTAATGTCATGGCCTAAAGTAGTTATTCCCACTTTTCAAGAGTTTGATTTCATTCAAAGTGAATCAAGCACTTTAGGAATTCAGGAAAATTCTAGCAAGTTCTGATGGTGCAATTTGAGAAGTGGCTCTTGGATTTTAGTGAATAGAGACGATTGAGAGAGGGCAAAATGTGCTTCAAACTCCTGCAGGTGACCTGTGAGAGGAGAGAATACAGACACTGAACTGGTGATTTTTGTAAGGAGTCATTTGGTCTTCTGTACCCAGACACTGCAGACCATTCCCAACCTCTTACTCCTTTCCTTTTAAAACCAAGAAGATTATTATGTAACAGGCTTTCTTTTTAAGTTGGGTGGTTTAATAGTCATTTCTTAAAACAGATTCTAAAAATGGGCTCTTATTTGCTGATAGAATGTCTCATCTTGTTCTGTGTTGAAGATTTTAGGTACTTTTAATTGTTCAGTTTTGGTACCATATGAATTTCAGAGTTAACATCATCTTTATGTTGCTGTGTCTTTGTGAAAGCTCCACTTGTTTTTCTAGGACCGTATTCTTGAAAAAAAACAAGTTTTAGCTTCAAGGGCCTCTGAGAGATGCCTGTTTCACTGAGAGTAAAGTGGGAATTTATTTTAGTGCTTATCCTTTCTCTTAGAACCTCAGAATCACAGGAGTATTTTTTTTAAATACCATCCTTAGAAATGAACCTGTTCAAATTACCTGGGTTAGGAAAAATGTCTAAGGTATCAGTCTAAAGCAGTGTAAACCGACAGGGTTTTGTTTTGGCAAAGGCAGTTTAGAGCTGTAGGGTTTGGGAGTAGAACACATTAAACTAACTGCAGTATCCAGGCTCTAGATGTCACTGTAGGCATTGTTTTGAAAGGAAGTAGTCTAAATGACCACTTTAGAAATTACCTGAATGGGTGAAAGTGCTTTAATAAAATCTGTAAGGTTGATATAGTCAGGCTCCATTTTCCTCCCTTTTAGACTTTCTGTGAATGTTATTTTGAAATGTCAAATGCTTGGTTGTTCTCTGCTGCACAGTGTAGCCCATGTGAGGTTTAGGTTTCTTTCAGCTGTTTTTGTGCTCCCTTAGCTCCTGGCTAATTAGGAAGTTAGACAGTTTAGAGGAGACAGAATTAAAGTTTGCTGTTCTCTGGTGCCAGAAACTTTACGTGACTTTTCCAAGTGACTCCAGCCTGGGACAAATTCCTCGTGCCTGACCTCTCATGACAGAATCAGAATGTGAAAGCTTTCACAAGATGGTCTGTAGTTGTCCTGATTGCTCTCACTGATCTGTGAGATCAGATGTTTCTTGAGCCTGGGTGCATCATTTGACCCCCTTCAGCATTGCTTAAAGGTTTTATAATCAGTGACGATTAGACATTTGCTTCACCCTCAGTTAATGTGATCCTGCAGTGCTTGAAAGCTGGATCATATGGTAGGGAAAATAGAAGGTATAGAAAGGTAGAAAACTCAAAAGATAGCTAAGCATCAGAAATGTGAATGTCAGGGACTTCTTCCCTTACCACAACATTTGTTCCTGTTCTGCCAGATAGATTCTACTGATAGAGGACTCAGCCATTCCTTTTATTGTGTCATAACCTTGCTGTGTCAGGAATACCCAGAAGATGTCTATTGAAAGTAGCAGCATTGAAAAGAAGTCTTTTCCATTACCAAATGTTATTACAGAGCAGTTTGTGTACAGAGAAATCTTTATGTAAGAGAACAACAAAAGGGAAGGAGGAGAGATGTGAGTCTGAAATGAGATTCTTTTATTTTGTTTTAAAACTCTTACTGCAATTTGAGTACCATTTGTCACTGGCTTATTTTTGCAATAACTTTAACAGAGGTTTTGCAGTCTTTTGTGAGCCTCTATTGTTATGTAGAATTTTCCATCGTTGCAAAAATCGTACTATAAAAATATCTTTTAGTATAACTGTTGTAAGAGTAATTTAATTGTATCCAGAGGTGTAGTTGCAGTAGTTTTATCCTTAACTTATTCCAAGTACTTCAACTTTGTTCTGTGATTTCCATGTAGTTTGAGTACCTGTATATGTTGCTGATAAGCAAATTGGTGTGCAGCTGGGGTCAGGGTGTCCTGTCAGCAAAATGCAGACATTCAGAATTTTCATTATGAGTTTATCTTGGTAGGTGTGAATGCTTCTTTCCTACATGTCATCATCTAAACAGATAAAGCTGCTAAAGCAAAAATACACATATTCTGCTTTCTTTGTCATTAAGATTCAGTTCAATATTTCTGTGACTGGGAGTCAAAACCAGGGAGTTTTTCCAGGGAATAGGACCAAGCTTTATGCTCTACGTAGAGCTGTGTGTCATATGCACATCTGAGTTGGTCCAGGTGACCTGAGACTTGATCTGTGCATAGATCTGCACGGTGATCTTTGCACTATACAGAGCTTAACCCATGATATGAGTTCTGAGAGCGCACTCAGTTACCACTTCTGTCTTTCATTGCCTGAGCTGCTTGTAGCTCAGCATTTCAGATTTTTATGGTGGAGTTCAACACTCTTATACTTCTCCTTTTAGGCATATCTAAAAAATGAGTAAAAGTAGCATATATGTGTCTGAGTGTATGTAACTGTATATTCGATTATTTAAAAAATAATCAGGCTAGCATCTGTTCTTTAAGACAGTCTTCCCTTTTCCATCTTTGAATACCCAAAACAAGAAATCTGTTGCATGTTACTTCCACTCTTTTCACTTTGAAACTTCTTTTATGCTTTCTGGGGACATCCAGTAATAACTGGTGTTTTTTCTGTGTTTTCTAGAACTTACTGGATTCTTGAGATCCAGTAGCAACTTCTTGGTGAGGGTTTTGTTACATATTAAATTGTTAAAAAGTGATTAAGGCTGCAAAACAGCTATCAGAGGTGCAGTTGAAGTGTCCTACGTGGCCACATTTTTTTCTGAGGAACACTTCCTCATTCAATGTACAAATTAAGACACTCCGAAGCCAAAACTTTCAGTATTTTTTCTCAGTGTTTCTTCAGGCAGTGCTCTTTTCCCCCTGTTTATTTTCACTCCTGTGCTTCTGATTCCTATCTCAAGGTCCCCGTGTTTGTTTTGTCCAGCCCTTTTCCTATTGACCTGTTACTATGTTCAGAAGCAGTTTTGCTGAGAATTGTATTTATTCTGCTTGGGCTACCTGGAGTTTAACATTTACAAACTTTCTGGTCGCTAAGTTTACATGTTTCAGTCATTTGCTTACACAGTAAAAAAACTCATGTCTTCTGATCGATGAGCTGGCTTCCCATTCAGCACATTTGAATAGCTTAACCAAAAATTTGACAGACACTTATGGTCTCCAAACTGCTTTGCAAACCAGGTGCCTGTTTGCCTTATGACTTTATGTTCACTGCCATAGAAATGAATTGTTTAATTGTTTTTATTAAACAATTCACATGTCATCTGCTAACTTCTGATTTTGGCACCAGCATAATCTAAGCAATGCAAGAAGTTTGCCACGTGAGCTGTGTTTTGCTGTAGTGTTTTTCTAGCTCTCCCTTATCCCTCATGCCTTTAAGTTTTGGGGGATTTTTCCTTCATTAACTCTTCTGACAAATGCTAGACCAATGCAGGACTCAGTTTGTAGTTTCTCAGCTAGCCTGTACTGCACAAAAGCTTTTCCACTATTTGAAACAAGAAAAACTTTGATACAGTTAAGAACTATAAAGGACATCATCTTGGGCAGATTGCATATGAAAAAAGTCAGGCATATGTCATTTTTTGGTGCTATGTAGAAATGTTGGAGTGGGATCTTGCTAAGGGTCTGTCACAAAGTTATATTTTACAAGTAGTTCCCAAAGTTTCATTCATTTTCTTGCCTTTTTGATAAGCACTAGGGAACAAGCAGTTATGACTAGAGAAGTATAGGAGGAATGACTTCAGCCTTTGCTGCCCTCAGAAACTGTGTTCAAAGAAACAACCCCAGGCAGGCATTGTGCTAAGTGCAGCTACATTCCCTGTAAAACGTACTTCAAGGAAGGACAGAAGTGGTGGGGTTTCTAATTGTGCAAATTAAAAGAGCTTTTTGGTAATGAACTGCTCTGCTCACCCAGACTTGCAGCTGATGATCTAAAAGAGTCCTGTCAGCAGCACTTTGCCATCTGGAAGGCTTTGACTGCTCAGTTCTGTCTTGCTGTAATTACTTGGCCATTGGATGTGCAGCACAGTTGTGGTTCAGCCATCCCAAGGAATATGTCTATGCTTTGTTCAACCTTCTTGTAAAGGAAACCTGTGTCCAAAACTCTTACTGATAACAAGAGAGAACTGGGTCCTCAACTTCAGCCTTGTTTTTGCCTTCTTCCTTGACTTTCTAGGTAAAAGGAACTGTTCATAGGTCAAATGTAAAATTTCTTGTGTTATGTGGATGAATGGATATTACACTGTTCATTGTACAAATTCCTTGGATTCATTTGGATATACACACTGGATTTATTGGCTAATGGTGGTGTAGCAAGCAAGATGATTTGAAAAGAAAATAAAATATGTTACCATTTTATTTAAATATTTACCATTTTATATCAAAGCCTGCCTAAAGGTAGTTAAAATTAGTTCATTATTATTTATAGTCTATGAAAATCTTTCCGTACTCCTTCCCATTTCAATGAAAATATCATTGTTACTTTTTTGATGTTCTGGTGTGGATTTTGTAAACAGGCCATAAAGACTTTTCTTAAATCTTTCGTCTAACAGAAGGGTTATAACTGGATCCAAACTGCTTTTAGCAGCAGCAAGACAAGTAAGGACATTTTTAATTTCCACTAGATAGTTTAACCTTGGACAGTCAGTATCTGTAAGCAGTACATAGAAAATGGGCTTAAAAATATGGTATGGAAGAAAGCAAACAGTTAATATCATCTGGATGATAAGAATGTTTCTTTTCACTCTTCTGTAAATCAGATGTTTTTCTCCAATAGAGGTGTTTTTTTGTATTCTGCTCAGATGTCTTGTAAGAGAATAGTATGACCACAAAACAGTCATAAAAGACAGAAAAAAGCACGCCGTGGCAAGGGAACCTGCGATCATTGCAGGACGTTCACCAGCTTCTACCTTGATGTTGTAGCACGTGGGGAACTCTCCTGAAACTGTCTCCTGGATATTGTACATGGTGGCTGTGATTGTTATGCAGAGTACAATCAGCCAGATAACGATGCACAAATATTTAGCGAATTTCGGCCGCTGGAACTTGTGCAGCAGGCGCCCGGGGAATTTTCCTGGGAGAGCTGGGCAGTGCTGTGTGCCACAGTTCTTGGTCAGGGTGGCGTACTGGCTGAGGGCAATGGAGCACAGGATGGTGATGGTCACGTACATGCTGACCTGCATGACCAGTGCCCCCAGGTGATGGGCGATCCTGCACGCCGCCGAGCCGTAGGGCCAGCGGTGCCCGTCCACAAAGTAGGCGGCCAGGAAGGGCATGGTGCTGCAAACCAGCAGGTTGGCACTCACGAGGTTGGCCAGGTAAATGTACTGTGTCCTTCGGGTGGGCTCCTTCTGTGAAAACACCCAGGCAGCCAGAATGTTGCCGAGGATTCCAGCGGGAAGGAGGCAGGAGTAGATGATGGGGAGAGCTACAGTGGTAGCTGGCGATGGCTGCAGACACGATGAATTGTTCATTTATGGCAGTATTTCTTGAGTGGTCAGAGCTGAAACACAATTAAAAAATTAATGTTTCTGTAATGTGCATCTAATATCTCTTCTTTGTTCTTATCTCAGCTGTTTCTTTGTCTACCCAACTTTTCAGTGTTCCTTTGATGCTGTTACCTTAAGTTTGCATGAGGTTACAGTTTGGGCATTCTCTTCCACTGAAATTTCAGGAAGAAAAGTTAAACCACAAAGCTTTTATATGCATTGAATCTAATAAAATAAATTAGGAAACTGAAGGTTCAAGCTAGGGTCTGGCAATAACTTCTATGATCTTGGTTTATTTCTCAGTCTTCTGGAACGTCTGTAACCTAATTTAGAAACCACTTACAGACCATTTAAAATTAAATAAGCAAATTAAGTGCGAAGAATTACTTTAATTCCAGAAATGCAGAAGAGTATCTGTACCTCCATTTACCTACAAATTAGCCTGTATATTGCAAGAATCTCGCTGTATATATTTATTCTGTCCTCATGTCTGTATGTGGTGTTTCTTTAGCTCTAATGTCAGATGTACATTTAGCAATTCAGTCTATTTTTTTTTTAGAATATACAGTGGTGGTTGAAAACTGCAGTATATTAATTTTTTCCAGGTTCATTTTTCAGTCTTCTCAATTTCCAAACTGAAAATAAGAAATGAAAGCTCTCTGCAATGACTGTGTATAAAAACTGACATTTCAGCTTACAACCTTGTAGTGGAGAGTTCTTACTATTGTATGCATACATATACATACATGTTTTAGTGGAGTGTATCCTAGTTAGCTTTTTTTCATATCAAATCATATGGAAAAAAATAACAGATTTCAAACTTAGAGACTGATAATATTTTTTTTAAACAGCTGTAAGCAAGTGAACTCCGATGCTAAAGAGGATTTGGTGTTGTAATGATAAAAAGCCCAGATACCAAGTTAAAAACTGTGCTGTAGGCAATGTTTGACAAACTTGCAAATTAAAGTAACTTCCATAACTTTTGCATTTTAGTGTACACTAAGTTCCATATGTATTGTTGAACAAAAATGTATTTAATTCTTTTATTATAATGAGTTAAATTCACAAAGTAATTGTTGAATTTACTCATTTTAGAAGTCTAATGAAAATTTTTGTGTCATTGACCGAATTTCATCAGGTAAGACAAAGAAGTGGTAATTTTAAGCTTACCTATACAAGCTGCAGGCAACTTCGTTTGCTGAGAGGAAATATTTCTGTCTGGTGTCCGTTTTATCTCCACTGCTGCAGTGAAAACGATGACACTGGAACCTGGGGAGTACAGTTAAAAATGTCTCTCTGACATAACTAGGTTTTCAGAGCCTACACTTCCCTTTTACAATGTCAGGAGGTACAAAAGCATTTAAAGTTCAGAAAATATTATGTCTGTACAAAAAGGCTTTGAAATTAAGTCAGGCTCAGCTCTATTGGGGGGGAAGAAAAGTTGGAGATAGCATGGAAGAGCAGCTGTAACAGTCCTGTAGGTATGGCACGGAAACACCTTGCAGTCCTTTGTATCGTGCTCTCCTCTTTTGAGGGGTGGAGGGGTTCTCTTTAGGACTGCCCACGTTGACTCATGCTGCTGTTTTATGCATGAAAACTTGTCCTTTCAGTCATATTTAACAGTTCTTCAGCTCCAGGAGCTGTCACCAAGCTGTCTATTCCCAAAGCCCATGTGCAGCAGTGCTGTGTCCATGTCTGTCCCCAGTGAGTGACCAAATGGACACATCTCTTCTGCCTGGTCGGGTGATGGATGGTGTGGAAACAATTTACAGCTGATACATCCAAGGCTTCCTGGCAGGGCAAATGGACTCACTGTCCAAGAAATGCAGTGTTTTACACAAATCAGAGGTGAACACACAACAGTTTTCTTCCTCCTCATCATAGATATGGCACAGATCAAATTCTGTGTAGCTCTGCAGAAGTTGAGACTTTGGAGTTTTCTGCTTTCCGATACGTCTGTGGTTGTAAGATAAGGATTTGCAACACCTATAAATAAGTTCCTTTTATGAGAGCAGAAGTTTGGTAAGGTTCCTGGTTTGCTAGTTTGACTTTGTTTAAACATGGACTGTAAGAATTCACCTCATGATCTGTTACCATTATTCAGTCTCATTATTACTAATTTTTTTACTAAAATAATGGACACGTAAGCTGGCTTCCTATTCTGATTTCATAGTTGAACTCATTTGCATTTATTTGCTGTGGAGTGTTAGTAATGAGGTTGTAAAGTTGTAATTAGTTTGCATGCACTTTAATTGTTGTTCTTGTTAGATTTAATTATGCCTTATTTTCCACTTTCGAATGTATAGTTATATTAAAAATCATTTTAACAGAGAGAGTCCTCTATTTGTTACATGTTTAATAGTTTCTTAAGTAGCGTTAGAAGTCCTTGTGGTGTTCCACTGAGGTTTAGGTACAAGAATGCATATTCTGAAAAGTTGCTGAGTGGTGTGAACAATTCCAGTTAGAAGGGTTTTTTAAAATGACTATTATAATTTTGTTGGTTATTGACTGTTGCCTGTAGTATTTATAATTTAATGATAATATCTCATGCTGTAAGAAGAGATAACTGCTACATTTTTTCTGAATTACTGTATGATAATGGATTGTTGTAGTGAATTAGAGTCTATCAGACTTGATTTTGAAATGGATGGCTGAGAGCAGTGGCAAAGTAACTAGGTATTAAAAGTTTTTTAAAAATGCCATCTGTCCCAGGAGTACAGTTACAGTTGTTCTAAGTTGTAGCAAGCACCTTCCTTATTCTTTTGGTGGACTATTTCCATTCACCTAACTTAAAAATGGTGTGTTCTATCTAAAATGTATTTGAAGATGCTCAAATGGAACATGTGCATCTTTAATGCCGTTTACCCTTAAGTTCTTCATAATTATTTTTATGTGCATCATTCACCTCAATGATATATACTTTCTCTAGTCTGAAACCATGATCACTCTTAATTCATACATGTACTAGATTTTATATTGCCAATAAGCAGCATATGTTGCATTTCATCATTATAGGTAGACAACTTGTTTTCTGGCCCTAAAAACACAAAACGCAGGAAATTCCCAGTGGTGAAATTCCTCAACTTCAGCAAGGCTTTGTCCCTGTCTCTCACAGCCTTGTATGAGCTGTCAGAGCATCAAACTAAGGCTTCCATATGTGAACTTCCCAGTTCTGGGAATAATGTGATTCTCACTTGTTTTTCAGAGATATAAGTTGCACTCCTCTTTTATATTGGCTCTTTGCTTGCCCTCAGAAACACCAGTTTGCAAGTTAAAACCATAATTATATTTGATTTCAAGCAAAAGTGAAAGCTGATGTTGTGGTTTAGCCCTGGTAGGCAGGTGTGCCCTTTAGCCACTCACTCACTCCCCCTCGGTGGGATGAGGAGGAGAATCAGAAGCATAAAAGTGAGAAAACTTGTTTATGGTTTTTTTCTTCCCCCTCTTGTTCTTGTGGCTGCTGTGCTGCAGAACAGACCCCCCACTTCTGGTGCTGCCTCCTGCTTTGTCTGACACCCTCTGATCAAATCTGCCAATGTCTGGGTCCCAAAGTAGGTGGTTGTGGTTTTATCCCAGAAAGCACCTAAATCCCACACATTCACTTGCTTCCTCTCCAGTGGGCTAGGAGGGAGAATTGGTGGGGTGAAAGTGGAAATGTATGGTTTGTGATAAAGAGTTTAATAAACTTAAACAGGCAGAAACAAAAATAAATGACAGAAAGCAACCTCATCCTGACCAGTGGCCAGTGAGTTCCTGAGGAACGGCAACGCAGCCAAGCTTCCTTCTTGGCTTTTGCTGCTGAGCATGGCACCGTGTGCTCTGGGATTTCCCTGGGGTCAGCTGTCCCTGCTGTGTCCCCTCCCGTGCCCTTGTGCACCCCCAGCCTCTCACTAGTGGGGTGTTCTGAGAGACAGTGACATTCTGCTTGTTGTGCAAGTGCTGCCTTCATGTTAAAACTCACCTGAAGACTCAGGTAATTAGGAAGCACTGGGAAGAAGAGAAGTAAGACACACTATTTGAATGACTGATTCTGTGGTCATTTTACACATCACAGTGTGACTTTCAGCAGATCTCCCAAGATGTTTCAGGACTCTTTGTTCTTTAGTAATATTTTTTGTAAGGCCTGACGTTTTGCCATCAAATTTGGGAAAAACTGATTGCAGAAAAAAATATGTAAGGATTAAATATTCTTTTTTTAAAAATAAAGATACCTGCTTTTGTTTTTTGGTCAATAGTAATTGCTTTCTACATGACAGTGCTGCCTAGTTTCAGATCCTTTCTGAGCCAGTTGCTACACCTGGCCTTTAACATCTCAAAGCACTGATTTATACAGTTGAAAAAAACAAAAGTATTTTCTGATTGCTTTCTGTGGTTGTGTCTTTGTTGTGACTGCTGCTCCCATAATGCTGGACTTTGTCAAGATCATGTGGTCATTCCTGTTCCCCTCTTCTGTGCCAATGCCTGCTCTTAAAGATTTTCGTACACACCTGTTCCCTGTCAGATTTTCATTTCTGAGCTGGAGAGTTGATTAATTTAATGCAGTTTGGATTTTCAGTATTGAAACCCTGTACTACTACTTGATCTTCTGAAGATATATGAGTCTATTTTGGCAGTACTGCTGTGTCCATGAATTACAAACCTTGTAAATTTAAATTCTGATCTAATGCCTTATTCAAAAGAATTTCAGAATTCACATTTTGTTCAAGCTGCTGTTGTTCATGTCTGTCCTCTCCTGAATTTCCCAGCCCACACCCTCGCCCCAACCTGCTGTTCAGTATCATCAACCAACTGCTCACAGAATAAGCTGGAAAAGAAAGAATGATGAGATAACGTATAGATCTTATAAAATGATGGTTTATAAACTCTAGTAGATGTACCAGAATTGATATAACTATGTTGAACTACATTATTGCATAATAAAATTGCACTGTAAAAATACAAAACCAAGAGAAGCATTAATATAATAGGATGACAAAATAATAGATAAAAGATCATGAAATGCAATTACTGTGAGAATCAGTCAGAAATAATTGTACAAACACCTCCATTGTACACTGAAATGTGTAAGAAAAAAGGCAGCTACCATCATCTTTATGAAATTACATGTTTGTGTGAATCTTTCTTTTAAAGATTAAGAAACCCCCTGATTTTTTTATTTAAAAAAGAAAACTAAAACAAAATAGACTGGCTAGTCATTGTAATTTGTTTAATGTGTTTATATCCAGTTCCATCAAATCTGAATTATGTAAAATCACATCAAAATTAAACCAAGTTCATATCTAGCAGAGCTGAAGCCTTATGGTTACTTTGTTCAGTTGGAATATTATGAGTATCTTCTGTAAAATCAGAATATTGTATGGAATTAGTAAAAATCCACACATTTGAGAAGTTATTGGTAGTCATATTAAAACCAGCTTCTTCACACCTGCTTACTTGAGCATCAAGTGTCAAGATAATAAATCCTTATTTTACGGAGCTTGATGTCTGGCCTCTAATTGTTTCACCTTTCTGGTCTGTCATGCCAGACATTTAGATTGTTCATAGTCGTGTTGCTTTAGTCATCTTGGTGCCAGACATCCCCCACCTTCAGCTCTCTGGTTTTTGAGAAATGTTACAGTTTGAAATTTGTTTGTGCCTAAATACATAAAGCTGTTTAGTTCTAATATGAGAACATAGCTGTAGATATGAAACGTTGCTGTTACATTGCTTTTCACATGGCATCAGCAATTATCAAGATTATTTTAATCACATGGAAAGGAAAGTCTCCTGCCAGGGAGGAAGCATGCATCTGGAATGTGTGGCTTTGGAAATCCAGAAGTAGACCAGTAGCTGAGCCTGGCTGATCTTTTTGCTGCATTCTGCAAATTTATGTTCCTTGCTGAGCTACTTTGTGCAGTCATCAAATTTGTCATATTGAAGGAAATCTTAGGAAATACCCACCTCATCTCTCCTTCATTTCTTTCAAACTTTCTGAAACAGTTGGTTGCTTTTCCTCAGGTATTTGACCTTGACGCTCATTAAAATGTTGGAAAAACAAGGGGCTTAGTAGGATTGAATATTTTAATTTTGCTACTTAATAAAACTTGAGTGTCTTCTGTACTTAAAACTGAATTGATTCTTCACCTCATTTTTAAGATGCATGTTGCTAAATTCGCCAGTATTTTCTTTAAAAATATGTTTATAAATGTAGTTAAAACACTGATCTCTTGCAAACCTATTAAAACAGAAAAAAACATAAAATACATAAAATCTGTAATGGTATCTAGATCTTTCACATAGGACAGAATTTACTTTTTGCAAAATTCATCTATTATTTACATACACAAGCTACTAATATTAATGTGTATATAAAAGTTTACTTTTACAGGTTCAAACCCCTACGTGGAAATGTCCCTAAAGAGTTAGTGTTCTAGTTTAGTGCAACACAGAATGTCTGAGAACTTCTAATTTGTTTTCATGGATAAACAAGAGCGAAAAAATTCTTCAGAAAAGTAACTTCTCATTTTCACAGACAGAAGTAAGACTTCTCGTTTTTCTTAAGAGGAGGAAAGAGGCAGAATTAGTAGCTGTGGAGTAGAGGATTTTGTGATCTGAAATTGGTGAGCTGGAGTGGCAGATATTGATTTAAACATTCAAATTATAGACTTCTTCCTCGAGTAGCTGGAGTGAGGAGTGGTGGTGGATAATCGCTCTTGAGCATATTGGCCAAGTTTTATGTCAGAAGTGCTCTCCAGGTTTAGGCTTGGCTCTCCATGAAGTTTTCTGCATATCAGTTGCAATACAGTCTTACGGACACTTCTGGACATTAGGAAATACATAACTGGGTCTAGGCAGCTGTTAAACGATGAAAACACCAGCATCACCTCATTGCACGTGTGGATGATCTCCATCCAATAACAGGATGGGGTTTGTAACTGTGATGTGATGTAAACAAACCGGAACATGTGATAAGGCACAAAACAGATGGTGAAAATTACGAGAACAATGAAGGAATTTCTTGCTGTCATGGTGTATTTTCCTGCATTGGGAAAATTTGCCCTTTTCCTCGAAATTGTCAGAAGATTCTTGGCGATTTTTACATACGAGAGTATCAACAGGAAAAAAACTATCCAAAAAATCAGTACAACGATATAATTTAAAATTGCTTCAGTCTTCTCTGAATTCTGTTTGCTTCTGTAATGAAAGCACATGGTAGAGTTGCTGTCCTCAGTCTTAAAGAAAGATGGTGCAACTACCACTATAAATCCTGTCAGTGCAATCGCCCACACCGTGCCACAAATCTGCACACTCCGGGTGGTGGTTAACATCTTTGGACGACTCACAGACTTATTTATTTTTATATAACGATCCAGACTAATGAGTCCCAGCAGTACTATGCTAATGTACATGTTCATGTAAAACAGAGTTCCCACAGCCTTGCAAAAAATCCGCCCGAACATCCAGTGGTTGGTGGCATGATAGAGTATCCGAAAGGGAAGGCAGAAGATCAGCAGAAGGTCTGCAACTGCTACGTTTAGCAAGTAAACTTGGATAGAATTCCTTTTCTGGTGAATGTGCAGGAAAGCAAACAGGGCTATAATATTTCCAGCCAATCCAACGACAAAAATAATAGAGTAAAAAAAGATCAAAGCAAGTGACAGTGAGTTGTTGTCATCCAGGGAACAGCTGGCATCACTGTGACTTTCTGAGGCATTTATGGTCAGGTTGGTTTGGTTACTCCAGAATTCTTCCTTGTGTGGAACAATGGTTGGTAAATCAGCTGAAGTTGCAGCCATCATTTGCAAAGGGGTTTTAGCTGTTCTGTAAAGAAACAGCGATTTTAAGAATTAAATCTCCATTCACGTGTCTGTTTGCTTGTTGCCTACAGTCTAATGTGATATAAACATAAAAGGCAGTAGCTAAAAGGAATAAATGCACCAAAGTATTGGTGTAGCTGAACAGAAGGAGTTTCAGCCAGATACCATCAAATAATATAAGTCTAGGTGATCTGCAGGCAGAAAAGAAGAGATAGTGTAGAGTACTCACACAGATAACTATTTTTGTAATTATAGCATTATTACTGTCTTGTGTTGTTTTAAAAGTCAACTATTACATTTTCCTGCAAACTTAAGAAATTTTTTTTATCTGTAAGAACAAATAATTTTTTTAAGTTCGCTTCTTAGTGAAGCATTTCTAGCACAGAAAAAATTTTAACTAAGGTGCAGGGACAGGTAAGCGTAACTATTCAGTGTTGATACAAAGTACGTAGATGTATGTTAAAACTAGTCTAAACTTACCTGTGTTAGCTTTTAATAATTCACATCTCTCACATGCGACTCACTGGTTAAAAAAGCATTTGTCAATTAATATTCATTTGGCTATGTACTGTGTTATAAGTAACCCTGTGAGACAGTATTATTGCAGTAGCTTGTCTTTAATAATCTGTACTTTCACATAAATTTAAGTGTTTTTTCCTCTTGACTATTCACGAATCAGTATTCCACAAATAAACTACTATTAGCTGGAAATCATGTAAATGCAGTAAGAGGTTGCTTTCAGACTTTCCTTATTTTCATTATTTTATTTGCTTTCATTGGAAAGTTGTTAATTTCACTAAGCTTATTGCTGACCAGGAGGGTACAATGTGAAAGATAAAAGTCAGCCTTAACCAAAGAGGGAAAACCAGCAAAGTTGTGGTTTGGTTTGGAGAGCATTTGCAGGAAGGCGTTTAGAGAGATGGTTATCACAAGTAATGATAGAATTTCAGTCTCCACGTTATTTGTCATAGCAATAAGAAATGCTGTAGGTTTATTTAGAATTTTTTTTTTTTTGCAGAAGAAGGAGGTTTTTTTCCCCCCATAACCTCCCAAAATTTTCTGAAGTGATTTTGGCACTGAACTTAGTTTTCTGGCAACTGTTATAGGAAAAGACAACAAAAAAACACTGCTGTATATGTAATCTTAAAATAGCTTTCTTGTTAGGTCTGTGTCTAGGCTATGCAATTGGTGTGCTAGGCCTTAAAAATGCAAATTTGCATTTAATTCTGTGATGCAGCCACAGCAGTGAAAAAGGCAACAGTTTAGGTAAAATTCTTAAGAAGACCTAAGGTACTTACAGAATCTGAATTCTTGAGAGGAAAGTCTAAAATATTTTAACATCCTATGTTGTCTGACCCTACAATTGCATTAAACTGGTAGGGTACATGAGCAGTTTCACAAACAGCTGTTCTCATGCTTGCCACATGATATTGTCAGGGCAAGTAATTTCAAGAGGTTGATTTCAAACTGCAATGCCTCCAAATACATCTTGAAACCCATCTACTGCAATGACTTCATGTTTAAGTTGCTTTTCTATGAAAATGTTTGATATGGGGGACTTGTATAAGCAGTGACAAGTTTACATCAATGAGAGAGAAACTCGGGTTACACTGCAAATGGATTGGAAACAAAACTTTTCTCTGTCCTAAGTTGTGTCCCCTCTAAACAAGCAGACATGCTTAAACTTAGGAATACTTAGAAAAAGATGGAGGTCACTAACACCTCTGCAGTTAAGAGAACTTCAGCTTAAGTATAAAAAGAAGCCACTTACCATTTATATGTTAAGAAGTTCTGCTTGTTCTCAAAACCACTGGTGAAGACAGGGAGGAGAAACGTGCAGCTCCTCTTATTAGAAAGCTACAGCAGCAGCTTCTCTGAAAGCAGTGACTCCAGCTGACACGCACAGTTGCCAGCAAGGGGAAGTTTTTACTGGTGTTGCAATTGGTTTGCTTTGGTTTTTTTAAAGGCATTTTCAACCCAGTTCACTTGGGCTCTGCTGAGAGAGGTTCTGTAATAATTTTTTTTTTTTCAGTTTTGCTCCAAATTTGGAGGTTCAGATTTTTTTCTCAGAGACTTTGTTTCTGGTGAGCAGTGCCAGTGGCTTTTTGGGTGATAATGATGTTGGTATAGTCTGTCATCTCTTTAATATTTCATGGAAATAGTGTCACTTTTTCCAGTGTAAAGATAAATCAGCACCACAGTGGAATGGTACATTATCTTAACGTTTATCTTGTTCTCCCATCTACCTTTCTCCTTGCCTGGGATTAGAATTGTTGTTCTTTCTCACTCAAAATGACAGGACAAGAGGATGTGAATGTGCCCAAAGTGTGCAGCTTAACCATTTCACTGAGGCAGAAGTGAAATACTGTATGCAGCAATAATACCACCTGATAATACTCTTTCAAGTGGGGCATAAGGAATTGAAAACTACATTTATAAACTGGAAATTTAAGAGTGGATTCTAGAAGACCTGATATGACAAGGCCTAAATTTAATGAAGATCTCGAGAACATTGCCTTGAAAGCCTTTGTTCTCCTATAATTTAAACTTTTACAGAAACACATGGGTGGTTAGAGATGTTAACTTTAGAGGTAGTCAGATTGAACTTCTGCTAGCTCCTGTGCACTCTTCTGAGTTCTTGGTTTTGCAAGTTAAGCAGCAACATATTCTTAGGAAGTAGTATACAAATTTGAGGTTCTTCATTTTAAATAATATGGTATTGAAATGAGGCTTTGAGTAAACGCAGGAAGTTCTAAATTAAATGCAACTATTTGAGTATGTGTACTTAATACCAAATTGTATTCTAATAGATTTTGTCTGCATATTGCTCTTTCCTACAGCAGTCAGTACATCTGAATTGTTGTATAATGTTATTTCATTTTTATACATTACACTTAACTCCTATTTTGGAAAATCAAAGGTATAGATGGCTATGGCTGGAATCCTGTTTAGACACCTAAAGAATATCCCTCACTGGAATATCCCAGGGGTGTTCCTTTTCTTTCCTGCACTTGGGAAGTGAATTCTGTGATTAAGGCTCAAAACAGTGTTTTATGTTCTCTGTTTAGGTTTATAAAACAGTGTTTATGTTATCTGGGAAGGATAAGACCCCACAAAATATATCATAGGCAGGATATTTCAGCCAGGGAATTGAAGCAGTGTAAGAGTTAATAATTGGATGAAAGACAAAAAGGAAAAGTAGTATCAGGTAAGAAACTATAGACATGAGTTTTTTATCTCCATTTTATCATGATTTCACTTTGTGTTCCTTGCTGGTTCTGATAAGTTCTGAAAGGATTTTGCTATGCCTGGGGCAATAGAAGGGAAGCCAATGTAGAAAGAGGAGTTCATGCCAGAAAAAAAGCTAACTGAAATTAAGAAATTATTTAAAAAAAAAAAATCTAACTTCTGCTCACTGATTTGTGAAAGTTCTAAAATACAGATAGTATTTCTCAAACAATGTAATAACTTGTCTGGATTTTTGTCTTTTCAGCCACACTGTGTACTGCTTGCCTCAAAAGAGAATTCAGCCCCAGTAAAGCTTGGTGGCTTCGGGGTAGCAATTCAGTTAGGAGAGTCTGGGCTAGTTGCTGGAGGTAAGAAATTTTCCTTCCAAGTTATTTAGTATTGTGCATGTTGTACTGCAGAGCTCTGTTCTTCTGACACAGCCTGGCTTGCAAAACAAGAGCTCAAAAATAATCTTTCACTAAAGACTTTGTTAACATGGTAAATGCACACAGCCAAGCTAAATTGGTTGTGGAATGTAACCTTCATTCACACATTGAGTGTTAAATCCTTGTAAATGTTATTCATGCTGGTTTGATCAAAATAAAATTGAAAAAACCCAAAGAATTTTCCACTTCAATACAAGCTTTGGCTTAAGTCTTCCATGCTTGGTAAAGCCAAGAAAATAAATATGCAGTCATTGAAGCACTTGAGTAAGGACTTAGTGCAGCATTTCAGTGCTCCCATGTTTGATAGGCAATTCCTGTCAGAATGCTGTGCTGTTTAATAGCAAAATCTTACTAGTTTCCACACAGGATCCTTTTCTGTGTTTTAAAATTTCGTTGTAATTACTGCATAAGACATCAATATCCTGATATGTATGTATATTTTTTGACTGTGTTTTGTTTTCTGTGGATTTTATTTCCTCTAGCTGCCTTCCATATTGTTCCAGACAATAGGGTTATGCTTTAATCAGCCTGCACAGATGAAGACCCAATCAATTTTCTGATGCTTTCATTCCCAGAGTAGGGGACCACAGCAAAACATTTTGTTAGTTTTAATATTTTTTCTTCCAAGTTAGTAACTTCCTTCAGTACCATGCTTCTTCAAAAATTCAGATTTCCTAATTTAATCATTTAACGTTCTGTGTCAATTTGACTTCTGTATGTTTTTTTAAATAAAAAGCAAATCAAGTATAGGCATACCAACAGCTTCCATTCCCTTCCAGATATTGCTGATACGCTGGAAATATCAAAGTATCTTATTATCTAGAGATATATTTTCCAAGAAAATACCCATTCAGTTAAGCTGAAATAAAAAGGTCATTCCTTTCTTTATTTTTCTTGTGTTACTCAAATTATCTGTACCTCAGCCACTGCTTTTTTTAGTGGTAGTTTCTACACTTTTGTTTATAATCATCTCATTTTTCTTCTTTATGTTCTGCTCAGCAACTTTACCTATTTCTGTTCCAGCCACTCTTCTGGAGGTAATCAGATGCAGTGGACTTTAAGGCTACCAGTTGTCTAGCAAGAAACATTAAAGTTCAATTTAAAAAAAAAAATTACCGCATTTTTCCCGAAGTTTGTCATGGCCTTCCTTTTGTGTTACTGTTCCCAGTGCTGTGACCCCACTCACTGTTCCTGTGCTCAACCTACATGCAGTGATCAGTGCTGGGGATTCTGTTTGCAGCTCTTACAGAAGATCTCAAACCTCATCACTGTGATATTTGTCAGTATCTTTTGCTCCTTCCACCTCAGCTTCTGCCATGTTGGTCTGCCTTCACACACTTTTGTTTTTTTCATTTTTCTCAGCTGGCATTTCCAGTTTTCAGCCTTTTCATTGGCACGTGTTGCTTTCAGCTTCAAATTCCTCTCATTTTCAGGGATACCCAGAGCAATTCCACTTCATTTATATACTGCAGAAAGTCTCCTTAACAGACTCCTCCCTGACTTCTCATCTTCCATTCCAGTCTTTAAAGCACAAACTCCCCTGTTATCTGGCAATTCTTTTCCCTGCCAGAATCCTATCTGAAGACAAATTACTAAACAGTTCCCTGCACAGAACTGGCAAGGTCTTATTTATTCAGTTTTACAGTATGACCCATATGTGTTATATGAAAGGTGTCAATACTAGCTGTTTGAACTGCGCTATAAATTTCATATAAATCAATGTTTATCTACATATTTGTTTAAGGGTGTTATTCATATCCCCTATGGATATGTTTTGTCATAATAATAACAACAATAATTTACAGGCACTTCTTATTTCTCAGTTGTCTCATAAATAAGTAGAAACTCTCCAAATAGAGAAGTCTGAGCAGTGTCATAACCACCTGTTCACTTTCACATTGCTTTTTTAATTTCTAGAATGAAAAACATTGATTCTTCTTGACGTAGTCAGGTATTTCCCTTTTAGCATGGCAGTGCCTGCATTTGGTGGTTAGTACATCAAAAAAGAAATTCGCTATCAAATAAAATCTATCATGACATTTAGGTAATTTTACTGACCTGAAAACCCTGTGCTTTATTTGTGCTGGTTTTCCTACTTTTGTACACCTTGACACACCTGAGCTGGTAATCCCAGATACTGTGTAGCCCCAGGAGAATAAACTTAAAGGGAATTTTCTCCCTTGTGTCTTTGAAGCCAACCTTCAAGCTTACAGCTTTTGCTTTGTTTGGGACTGTAACATTTTTTGACTTGACAAAGACATCAGAGCGTGCATAATTTGCTGGGGAATGATTTTTGTAGTGAAGTTAAATTAAACCCCAAGTATTAAAATTTTTTATATGTGTCCAGAGACAGACTTGTGAAGTTTAGAAGGATTGTAACTACAGGGTACTTTCAAGCAGGTGGATGGCTGTTTGAAAGAATTGTAAGGGAGCTCGTGACAAGAAGCTGTGACATCATACTAGCTGTCATTGATGAAAATGTGTATGGAGATTTTAGGAGTGACTGTATTTAATAAGCTAACAACTCAGCTGAGATTATTTGTAAGAAAGTTTAATTATTAATTATTATTTACTTTACATAAGTAAAATAAAGTACTGGGAAAAAAAGAACATAGTCATAACTCATTTCTTCATAAGGCCAGAGGGGAAAGTGCGAGGAAATACTCTTTGTTGCACTGCATTTGCCCATAAGCTGCAATAAATGGCTAAGAATCGTGTGTTGTCATCTGAGATACAGGGAATAGATTTCATGAGCTACCAATCTCTGAAGGTCTCTTCTTGATTCAGTTCTTATGATCAGAAGTGGAAAATTGTGCTAAGGGCTTCACTTGAAGCCTTGAAATAGGTACTTTTTGAAGGAACTCTGGCTTTATACACAGGAGTTAGAGATCATCATAATTTATAAGTGAATTCCTTTATGGAACAGAACATAGACAGTAAACAGTCTATTGCATTGTTATGACACAACTGGAGTAGTGGAATCTCTGGGAAGTCAGTGATTTAATAGACTAATCTCACATTATGATCTCTGTCTCCTTCCTTGGAGAATTTTTCTTGCAGAGCATAGTAGGAATTGTCACAATATTTTCTTAAATGTAACATCAGATTTATCTGAGATCCAGTATCTTAGATGCTGAATCTTAGGGTTTCTAGCTAGTATATTATATAAAAATCTGAAGGAATAAAAACCATTGAGTTCACAACTGGTATTTCCTTCTCTTAATCAACTTTATTTCTCCTGATTTCAACTAGTGCAGAAATAGATAACTGTATAGACTTTAGTAGGATGAGATTCTTTGTCTGTGGATAGTTAACTGCCTTTCACATTTTATCTTCAGCAGC